TCAACAACCTTGATTGCAAATATATAGCTGCATACTTACATATATACGCATACATATAGACATATATGACTATTGCTTTAAAACAGAGACTCGACTCTTGGCCATGAACGTAAGACCTTCACTTTAATACACCAATTGGGTATCTATAATTGAATCTTACGACCACGGCAGCTGCAATGACACTGACATATTTTTATATGAAACCAAGAATATATGAATTCACTCTTTTGCATACAAGTTTATCGAATTGAAGCATAAAGGGTGGGAAAGTAGCGTTTACTCTGCTTATGCTATGGGTAAAATACTTGGTAATATACTTGTCCAGTGGTATTGATTATGAATAGATTCTAATTTTTCTTTAATGTGCCTCATCGCTGCAATGTATTTCTGAAAAAAATATTCATTAGAATGGGAGCTATATTTTGTGCTTTTCAATATTTTCAGATCCATAATTTTTATGAATTTCATCATTTCCTTTAAGGGGTTATATCCACTAGTAGTTTTCAAAAATTTTTATTTTTAATGTTTTTCTCCGAATGCATACTTATTTTAGAATATTTTCCGAGAATCTTATGTTTATCCGAAAAGCTGTCCCGGAGATTCGATCGTAACATTAAAGGCTGCTCGCAGCGTTCGGAAATATACAAATCGCTTGACGGAGTAGTTCAACTTAGGCTAAACCGAAAAGCTAATAATTTTCACACAAATTTTCAAGACTTTTTTTTTCAGGTAAAGAGCGAAGGAGTAAAATTTTAGATAATAATTTCGAGTTTTTAGCCACTTTTAAGTGGAGAATTTCTTAAAAAAAAATTATTTATTTAATATTTTGATTTTCGATTTTCAGATCATTTTAAGCAGAAATATCTTCTTTCCAGCCAGACATTTTTTGTTGTTGAGATCTTTTTAAAGATCGACTGCAGGAACAAAAGGATCCTACATTTTTCAAAATTAATTGTTTGTTGGAGGAGGAGGTCGGCCGAAAATCGCTTCAGCGGTTACAAAAAGCCAATTATTATAATCGTTTGTTGACTACATTAATTACAGTCAATTAATTTGTGGAATAAAATTCCTCTCTAAAAAAAAATAAATAAACAAAATTAACAGATAAAAGCATTTATTTTGTTTTGCAAGTGGATGTAATCTCTTAATAAGGCTAATTATTGTATAAAGCGACATAAAATAATCGAGACTTATCACCGATAGATTGACAAAAATTGGCACCATTTGGACCGCATAGATTGTTCGTAGGTATGTTCTATTCGCATTTTTATCGTTTTGCAACTGCGCATTTAACTTGAGTATGAATGAGCATAAATCCAATCGTTCATTTGGCTGAATTGAAATATTAACGTGAATTTTATAATAAGATTCAAATGGGATTATATATACACAGCTTCCAAAGGGCTTAACTAAATCCAAATAACAGACTTTTTAGAGACTTTTTCCATTGATAAACTATTTTTTATTAACATTAATAGTAAAAATCAGTAAATTTAGCTATATTCAACTATTATATAATTATCACAAATTTTAAACACGATAACCGATGCTTTTAAATAAACAGTTCATCCGCACTCTACAACTACAAGCTCAAAATCATATTCGTTTCTTCAACACTGGTGAGCGTAATTAATTGTTTCTGTCTGGCATGTCTCTGCTCACAAAATATGCTAGTCTGTCTGCCTTTTACCGGAAAAGTCGCCATCCTAACTGATAACTCTAAAGAATCGGTGCTATTGTTATTAAAGCTGAAACCTTCACATTTATTATCCAAAGTAAATCTCAGAAGTATGTATGTATACACCATTATGTATGTTTAGCTCAAAGCTTCTGTAGCTACGAGGTGTGACAATTAAGTAATGAGACTAATTCCATAAAAACCGTATATTTCAAAATTATCCGCAAATACCCTCGTTATGGCCGCCTGGATATCCTCCATCGATTCAAAATGGGTTCCTTTGACAATAGATTTTGTTCTAGGGAACAAACAAAACCACAGGGTGACATATCGGGCAAATAAAGCGGTTGTTACAATACGGCGCGTTGTCGTGCGGAAGGATCTAGAGCGATGCCTGGGCGCACCCAGTTGACTCATTTTCGCAATCTTTAGAGTACTTGGCGATAGTAGACTTGGATTATGGTCTGCCGCGGTGAAAGATATTTTTTGTGGACGATTCCACGGCTAATAAGGCAATAATCATCGTTTTCCACGACTCGTTTTCCATGCGTCCACGTTCCTCCTTAAACTCTTTATGCCATCGAAACAACTGGGCACGACTAAGAGCACTACCACCATGCACTTTTACAATTTTAGCGTACGTTTCCGAAACTGTTTCGCCTAATTTGGTGCGTTGCTCTTGACTTCGTTTTTCATACTCGTCAATCTCTTTACTTCATTGTCACATCTCGTATTGTTTCTCTAATGACTGTACTATGAATGCACGTCAGTTTCACACTTGCATGTACTAGTCACCTTAGAGCTATTCTTTAATGACAGAAGCAAATTATAATAGGGTTGGCCCCAAACATACTGCAGATCAAAATAATTTAAGAAAAATATATTCCGATTTAAATATTTCCTCGTTTAGTTTGATGATGTACATTTAACAATCTGCCTGTCAGCTGACCTTTGTAATTTTCAAGGAGTCTTAAGAGATATTGTGGCTTATGACAAATATGATTGGAGGGCATTCACCTTGAATATGCACTATCTTAGACTGGATGAATTGTTTATCCTTGTGGCCTTTATTACAATGGTCTTGGGCTGAGACCGATGGACTTTGCCGAGGGCCAAAATATGTCATTCACAAAATATACAAAATCAAGCTGCTTTTTTGTCGCCTATTCGGTAGAGGTCCTCGGGAATTTTATAAAAGAAATGTAGGTGACTTGCAGATGGTTTCAAACCAGAGGTTTTGCTGAAGGGACAACAAATATAATCAGTTATTTAGAGAAAACTCTGCTTATTTGCAGTAAAAATGTGACACCAGAAAATCCTATGTTGTTGTTTTAGTTGTTGTAATGGTTGCTTCAGCCCTGCTTAAAGACAGGCTAGCTAGTCTAGGTCACCGAGCTCATCTAACAGGAGGACGAGGAAATGAGCTGCTTCGACCGGTTCGGACCAGAGGAAGATAGACTTAATATTTGTGGTTTTAGGGGACATTAAAAGAAGTTGTTAGTGTCGTGAGGGACTCTTTATATGCTGAACATACATTGGGTATGTCGGAGTAGAGTGAACCCTGTTACAGTATCCAGACTTAAGTTGCACCAGTGTTATTTGATTTGACTTAGAGTACGCCATTCACAGGGAGGGAGTTTTTGAAGGTGTTGACTGACTGCTGGGAATGGCGTTTATTGCCTGTCTGTGCTCTGTTGCTGGATTTTGTCTTCTAAAACTCGTACTCACTTTCTGATGTGCCAGGGTGGGGGTTCGGCTTCTATTAAATATCTGTTGGGATATACAGCAAAGCATTATCTTAATTCGTAGCATAGATGCCTCGCTGTACAAGTGATGCTCAGACGACATCAGAAGGTTTCCTGTCGCGGTCGTAAGGGCACTGTCACATCGAGTTCGGGACTGTGCTCCTTCATCCAGCCGAAGATTTGGTCGGCTGTATTTGTAGTTGCTTTGCAGTGAAAAAGTGGGATAGGGCGTCGAGAAATCCGTTAATTTTCGAGCAAAGGTCATCAATATCCGAGCCAAACGTGAATATCGAGCATTATTTTTCTCCGTTTGAATTTCATCATATCAGGGGAATGTTACCCTATACCAAGGCCATCGATTAGAGTTTCTAGTGTTAGTTAGCAGAATAAGGAGAAAGACTCTCCTAAGTTTACAGTTTGAGCTGTTCACTCAGGTCGGTGGGGAAAAGACAAGGTACATACTTCAGCTACTTTGCATGATACGGTCGGAAGAAGGCACGCCCAATAATTTAATCCCGACTTTCCTCGGCCGAAGGCATAAGAAGGGGTATCATGCAGTCTGAGCCAATTATCTTGTGGTTAGATTTTTCCTTATCGCATTCTATCCTCGGTTTTCTGGCATTCTGTGACTTAGACTGACCAGATATGCGTCCAGTCCAGGAAAATAAAGGATTGGCTCACACAATATCATCATAAATTTTTGAGCTGCCTTTTACGGCTCGAAAAAAAGCTTTTTCGAAGCCAATATGTCTGACTGAAAATGGCTAATACGATACCAAATGTGATTTCAGACGGTGTGAATATCTTCCAGCTGACGAGAACGCTAAGCATTTGGGTCTGGTGAGCGAGGGCGAGAGGAATATCTCCTATCGTTAATTAACCAGTCATCCTTTTCGAGTTTGGGTTACTCTTTCACTGTTCCTACTACGCTGAAACATCATGTTATCGTACGGACAGAGGGAGAGGAAAACATACAAACTTGTCAGGTGGATCTTAATGTTGATTATTGCTAAACCGCCTCCGAACAACTGAGGAGCTTTTACTTCATGTTAGAAAATCACTCGAAATGGTTGACATTCTTTTTCGGCAGGCCACCACAATTACAACAATTAGGTGTCTATAATTTTTCATGTTGGTCAAACCAGTACTCGAATACTGGCTTCAGAATGCCGGAATCCAATGCTTAGCACTCGGCTGTTGCGAGAGGCGCCATAAATTACTCTACAAAAAAGTCGAGCAGAAAATCATTCTTCAAATAGCTCTTTTTGTGCTTGGGGCAGTATTCACTACAGTAAAAGTTGTCTAGAGACACACTTTTGGGAGACGGATTAATATGCAGTAACCTGAGGCAGCTTAATATATAACGATTTTATATTGTTGATGTGCAAATGAAATGTTTTTTCCCTTCAATTCATGTTCTCTGGATTTAAAAAAATTGAATTTGATTGAAAAAGTTATTTAAGTAGTGAAAATTGTGCTCAATCAAAAAAACGTTTTAATGTTGAAAGGATCAACCCTAATACACACATACAGAAAAGCATGTCTATTTATGCAATATTTTCAAACTTTCCACTCACCTGGTGGCATGAAACGGCGACTGCCTACGGGTGCCTCTGCGTACGGTAAGCCAAGATATTGATCAACGTCACGTAAACCTGTCGACGAATGGAAATTACGAGTGATGCCCATTAGACGTCCCTGCTTCATTCTAATCTCTTTGGTGTACTGTAGTTTCTCCGGCACAATATGGCGTCGCTCGTTGCTGTGCGTAGCTTTGTTGGTTTTACTTTGAGTATTAATTTTGTTATTACTGCTGTCGTTGTTGTTATAGTTGTTCTTGTTGTGATTTTTCCTGTTGCTGATGCCACTGTCACTATCACTATTACTCTCCCCCAAAATTTCCGTAAGTAATGTGCCATTAGATAAATTAGAATTTAAGCCGATAGATTCCAACGGATTGGGGGCAAGATCTACGGCTGACTGCATTCCCTGCTCGAATTGAGTATTGACTTTGTTGAGATTGTAATTATTTTCATTGTGGTTGTTGTTTACTGTGTTTTTAGTTTTTTTATTTCTGTTGAAAAAGATTACTTTACTGATGACATCAGCTCCGCTACTGTTAGTTTTGTGCACGCTATTTGGAAGGGCAACAGCGTTGTGAGCAGTGGTGAAATTTCCAGTCTTATCATCAGCAGATGATGCTGCTGCAGTCTCATTTGCCAGTAACTTTGCTAAATTCAGTTTAAAGTCATAGAGCAAATGTTCAGCATTAACGGCGTTCTTCGAGTTCTTCAAATTCTTCACAATCAGCTCTTTGCCAGCTGGGCTCGCTGTTGTGCAGTTGGTTTTATTGGTAGTGCTGTTGGTCGTAGCAGAACGAGCAGATGGCATTTGCGCCATTGCGCTAACCGCCGGTGTTGTTGTGGAAATTTCAAATTTTAGTGTTGCGTTCGCATCCGTTTTCATTGCTGCCATTTTCGGTAATACTCGAATAATATTATGCCTTACTGTGGTGCCGTTAAAGCTTTTACTGGTATTATCTTTGTTACTGTCAATGTTTCCTGTCAGCTTTGTCATTGAGTTGGTGAACTTCGAGTGTGGCCCATTGAGTTCCGCGTTGGCTTTGGCTATGGCCATTTCATTGTTATGTTTTGCCACTGGTCGCTCGTCACTTTCGTTGTCAACTTCCTGCGACGTTATCATGGCTGGCATTTCCGCCTCCTTGTCGTACAGCCAACGCATTGGCATAGCCTCTGTCACCACATCACCTATTACTGGCCGCGAGGTAGTTGTTGCGCGCATAGTACGAGTGCTTGTAATAGCTGTTTGTTGTGGCAACATGGTAGCTGCAGTCTTCACCAGCTGTTTCATCGAATCTTTGCCCGTTCGTTGCTGTCGTGGTGATGAATATTTTTGGAATAACTGTATGTTTTGTTGCTGTTTGGCGTTTGATATTGCTCCGGGGCAGCTAGAACCATAAAGCCGATGCTGTTGCGCACAGACAAAAATCAGCCAAAATAGCCAAATAGCTGCGTAGCTAGAATAACAACGCCAATGCCAATAGCGTCGGAAATACATTTTGGGGCACGCGACAACGTGGCACAGTTTTGTTATTTGCTATAAAAAGTGGTTGTTGGTGTGAGAAAGCCTTCAGTCACTTTCTAGCGCTGTCCGTTTTTTCCCTAGTCAAGGCCAGTTTGCCAGTTTAGTGTTTAGTGCGTGCGTGTGGGTGTATGAGTTTGTGTAAATGTTTTTTGCTGTGCGCCTTTTGTTCAGTCTTTTCTCTTTGGCTTTTTCGTATGTCCCGTTTCGTTGCTTTGATTGCTTTGATCTTATTTGTGTGGATTTTCTGTTGATTTTTTTTTTATTTATTTAATAATTTTTATTTATTCGATTATTTTTAATATTTGGCAAACTTGTTTTGTTTGTATTGATTTTATCATAGCTCTTTAGTTTCTTTTGTGCATTCAGATAATTGTTTCATTTCCTTAACACTTCTTGCTCTTGCTCTCTTCAGTTGAATCCGTGCGTCATTGTCACATCTGAATGCCGCAGAAATTTCGTTCAGGTTTGTTAATTTTGTTTTTGCTTTGTGCACTGTTTCTTCTGAACTTTTCATATTATTTTTACTGTATTACGGTTATTTCGGTTTCGCGCTTACGTTGTGAACACTCGTGAGTGAGCATTGCCTTTCTGTGAATGAATATCTTTGAAAATAATTTATTTAGCCACATTGAATGAATCTTAGCCTCACCTTTTGTTTTTTTTTTAATTTTTATTTTACTTTTGAGATTTTAATAGTCTCGTGCCGAAATATCATTTTCATATAAATTTAAAGTTTTACTTATATCACGGCGCGACTTTCATTGTCCATCGAAACGTTATGTTCATATCATAACCGACTACTTTTGGGCTACAATTGAAGAACAAGACCTGAACTAAATGTGGTTACAATAAGATGGTGCCACATAATACACATCACGAGCGAATATAGCTTAGTTCACCGTCCGATGTCAATTGCCCACCGAGAACGTGAAAGGGCTGCACATAAAAGTCGCTGAATATATACGTCAACCATTTAGTTCGTACCTCAAATAAACAAAAGGTAGTTTAACCGGTGAAGAGATATGGGTTTGCTAGTTTCCAATATAAATCAGTCAGCCAGTTATGGAATCTGGAACGCTTTCTTTGATTATCGCAGTGCTATGCACATAGAATTCTGGCCAGATAGTCGGTTGGTAAATAGAATATTTTGCGAAGTAAGTAATTAATGAGTAAAATCGCTAGGAACTGACAACATTTTATCGCACTTCTAGGGCAACTTTCAGTAAAAGTCATATGCTGTTCAATGGAGCTTCATGGCCGCAATGGCCTTTACTATGTGAAAGCGCATGAAATTGCGTTCTGATTAATTGTGGTGACTAATTATGGAAAACATCAAAACACGCACAACAGAGTAGAAGAAGAACTCGGCCGAAAATCGCTACAGCGGTTCCAACGCCTTAATTATGTTAACAAAAAAAAATTAATATAAAAAAAAATAAATTATAGCAGCTTTTCGACTCAACTGAAAGTGCGTAAGAGAATGCATATTTTTACTATAAAATCGTCGTTAACAGTGTTTATATGATTCTGTCAATAAAAGAGTTTTTAATTTAATAACTCACAAACTACACATTAATACACTGTGCTTTATACATAAGTACATGCATGTATGTGTGTGCGTGTATGAAATCAAACAGGCGGCAATAATAATTATCGAATTACAATTTATGATTCATGCCATTTTATAGTAAACATATTAAAAAAATATTTAACGATTACAAGCTGTGCGCTTGAAAATGGAAGTATTTGTTATTTAACTTTATTTAATTTTTCTATTTGTTGCTGGCAAATTTCATTTATGCATATACAATACGAATAAATATAAATATTACATTGTTTCGCAATTATTTCGGGTAAAATTGTTTATTGCATCAAAGTCGTTTTATTCAAGAATTTTGTTCATTAATTGCTACTGACGCATATGTATATAAAATTTATTGGCTTATATTGAGAGCAAACATATGTCGAGTTCTCTGTAGCTATGTGCTTGTGGAGCCTCCCCATGGAAAGTTACCAGTTGGTTACTAGTTATTAAAAGAGAATGCTGTCCAGTTACATTTCTACACTTTAAGTTTATCCTCTATCGGCAGCTAGTATTTTCAACATTAATATATTTTACGTAATATCAATTCTACTTCTTTACATCGGCTTGGAACTAATAGATTACCGATCGATGTTGAATTCCTATTTCGCCAAATTTTAAATAAAAATAAATTATAAAATAATTGTAGCAAAAAAGCTGCGTATCGCGACATTGAAAATTTCTCACCACTCGGCTCTCGTGACTGCACATATTGTCGTATGTCCTCGCATTAACATAACGTAATAGAACATCCCGCAAGGTGTGGTGAAAATTGCTTTTTATCCAGTTACTGGTGACTTGTAAGAAAATACTGAAGTAGTGCAATAATATCTCTGTTAAAATACTAGTTTTCAACTAGAATTTTTACACACCAGCTTGTCTCTGCACGAATTTATGTAGATGTGAGCGCCACACAACATTTGCTGCTAATAAATAGTTTGTAATAATTTTTGATTAAGTGCAAAAACATTGTGTACAAACTGATATTTTGTTGCGAAATTGAATAAAGCAAATAAGAAAGGAGATATAAAATGTAATAAAATAAATCAAACTTAACAACAGGAAATGTAAATTGAGTGAAAAATATTATTTATTGTAAATTTTTTCGAGACACTTTTATCCGAAGCCTGGAACACAAGAATTCAATTTATCTATATACGTATTTATTTGATTTTTCGGTTTATTTCCAACAATTTGATTTCAATTTTCTAAAATTTAACAGAATATTTCTTGCAAAACGTGTCAGGCACTCAATTGATTGCGTAAAAATGAAATAATTATTAAAAGCTTAAAACAAATGTACAAAACATATACCCATGTATATGGATACTATATACAATATGTATATAAAAAGAGTATCGTATTCACAGCTTTTCAAAAAATCGAAAATAAATTACTACGAAAATTGAACAGATAAAAGGAGGCAATTAAATTTGAACAGACCTATTTTATCCAACATAAAAGCCATTTTATATACATATTTACACAGGCATGTGCAGCATTCCTAAATAAACATAAATAAAGTTTGAACCTGGTCATTATAAGTGAAGCACTGCATCATTCAAATGAACACCACTTGAACTCGTGGACACTTTCATCCATTTGAGGTATCTTTCGACTACTCATTCGTTCACAGTGGTCGATTTACATCGCCGAGAAAAATCGCTTATTGCAACTGTTGAAGTACTCAAACAACATATGGAAGACGTTGTGAATGGTCAGTGGGCTTCCGTTGTTCAGTGAGCTATACGCCGTAATGTGCCGCAAGAAGGACCCAGCTCTTAAGAGCGTCCAGAAATTTACACATTCGGTTTTTTATCTACACTTTCACTCACTTCATATTTAAGGTGGAATGGTCAAAAAGATAATACGCGGACCTTACAATATTTGTAACTGATCTACTCTCTTCACATTTCCTTAAACCTTAACCAGTTGCTTGAGTAGCTGAAAGATTATGTGCACCATAACCTCCTCTTAAGCACCAAAGTGGCCACGTTTGAATCAACGTTTTTGTTATGCGATTCACTTTTACGAAATTCTCACTTTTAACCTAAACAAAACATATTTGGTTTGACGGTTAAGTTTGACAGATGTCAAAATAAAGTCTAATACTTTTGAAACCGTGAAATGGATAAACCTATACATTTCTATCTGCTGTTAATACATATATGACTGGCGCTTTGTAACCGCTGAAGCGATTTTCCGCCGAGCTCCTCCTCCAATTTGAGGTTTTGATATTTTTCCGATAAATGGTAGGACTTACAGTTTATACTAAGCCACCTCCGAACGGCTGATGTTTTTTTATGAGGAGCTTTATATCATGCCAGACATGTACACTCAGAGGGGTTGACAATCTCTGCCGAGGGGCGACCGCGGTTAGAAAACTTAGCTTAATTTTTTGTTTAAATAAATTTTCTATAACTTTTGGATGTTGGTCGCACAGGGATGTTAATGTTCATAACAATTTACAGCATTTCAATGTTATTTACTATTACAACATAAATATTTGTATGTACATATGTATGCTTGTATCTACGTATGTATGTAGATAAACTGAAAAAAAAATATTTACTTTTGCAACGCCAAATATATTTTTTTAAATAAAAATTTTGCTTATACATACATATATGAATGTTGGCACATATTTATGAAGTCAAAAAGGCCAAAGTCACGTCACAATAATGTTGTTAGCGCACGTGGGAAGCCATTTTGATGGACGCATCAGAAGCATATGTTTAAATTAATGCATGAAAACGCACACGCAAAGTATGCTGAATTATTTTCAGGTTCATAAAGAAGCAAATTTTACAGCAGGAAATTGTTTTTCTTATGTTTTGGGTACAAATAATTGTTGTATTTTTTTTAATATTCTCCTGTTCATTAAAGCGTGACAGCAAACGCAAATCACAGAAAATTCAAATCAGTTCAGTGATTTCGTAAACAAATAGTTCAACATATTGCTACAGCACACATTGAACGATTGAGGGTACTACTATATACAAATATATATTAAGACCAGAAAGTTACCAGAAATTCTCATTTGAATTGTCCGCGCTGTGTGTTTTTCAGTACTTTTTTTGTTAAGTTGGTAGCACTGTTATTAATTACTGTGCCAAAAATGAGCACGATCTGTTAACCACTTTGCTTGCAGCAGCTGTTGAAATCAGTCAAAAAATTAATTAAGGGTCGGGTTGGTCCTTTGCTTATTTCTTATTGAAGATTCTGCCGTTTTCTTACATATGTCTTTCACCAGACAGCCTTGTATTGATATATTTTATATTTTTCATTTTGTCCTCAATTAGACCTAAATTGTGGGCAAGCTACCTTAACGGTTTGGGCAGTATCCTTCCATTAAGGCTTAGAAGATCCAATTGGTATAAGAAACGAAATCTTATTATCATCCGATGCTACTTCGTTTCGTTCACTTGTACAACTTATCGCTTTATCGTGGACATTATAAGTCTTCATTGATTCTAAGCACGATTTACCTTTGTTTGTAAAACATTTCTCTCGAGATCCCCCAGGGCTTGAGCGACATGAACAGTTTATACTTTTTCCCTACTCAGTCTGAAGTATTTCTTGTACAAGCAATTTTGCATCACCACAATGAGTGCTTCTGTTAATTGCATTTTAGCTGTAGGAACAATACCATTATTCATCGAAAGGAGATATACCCTGAATGAAATTGAACTTTTTTATCACATAACATTGGGATTTTTGCTTTGGTACTGTCATATCAATAATTTTTTTATATTTATATATGTATATATATAATAATATGTAGAAAGCTTTATAGTCCAATTATAATTTTACTAATATTCATGAAAGGTATACGAGATTGCAAAGAATTAATTGAGTACTTTGAAAATGTCGGAAAGAATAACCAACCGTGCAATTCAGGCCGCAACATGGCTGCACGCTGAACTGATGTGTTTATTAACAGTTTCTTCTCGACTGTTTCTTTTTTATAATTATTTGTCTGTCTTATTGCAATAAAAGGCTACCAAAGTATTGTTATTTGCTATCTAGCGCAATTTGGAAAACTAATTTAGGGTAAACAAAGCAATTCGATAATGAAATATTTATTCTATGTCAGCAGCGAATTGTTTTGGCAGATTTGTATTGGATTGTCTGTTGAATATGGATTAATTTGTGTCTACATTTAAAATTTATTCTCTAGCGCTGTGTGCCAAACGATATCTTTTTTTGCCCTATGGATAGATGAG